TTAATTTAGTATAACTTCAAAGAAAAAAGAAACCAGTTATTTCAATTATTTAGAGAGAGAGAGAGAAACATCTGAATTTTGGTGAGATTTAAGGGAAAAAATACTAATGGGCTTTAGAAATTGGACAGAATCCCATTTTAAAAATACTAATGGCCCAGTCTCTTTATGTTAAAAAAAAAAAAAAAGTTAAAAATCCCTAATTACCACCACTAGAAAACTATTACATTCTCTTTCTCCACACCACGGCGCCCTAGCTGATCTCTGCCTCCCAATCTCTCACCGTCACCGGAGGTGATGCTACCTTTGCTCCATCATTGTCCATAGATATTCTCAAGTTTCATTTGCTGCCCTTTCCGTTCCCCCGTCGGTCCTCATCTCGCAAGGAAGCAAGGCCGCTGCTCTTCCACTTCGTGCTCTGCTCACATCGAGCCGGCAATACCAGGTGAGCAAGGAGTCTGTTGTTCTGATACAAGTATGTTTCCTTGGATTAAATTAAACAAGCTATATCATGTGCTTGGATTCAACTCTTGAGGCCACGTTTGAGTTCTTAAAATCGATCTTGCAACTCGGAATTCTGCTCCTTTATGATTTTACGTTTTCTTTTCATTTTTTCTTTGTTTCTTTATTTCTTTCAGGAAATTGTATTGGTTTATTAATTAAGGAACAAGATGAGGTTGGAGAAGTGCTGGTTTTGTTCTTCCACAATATATCCAGGGCGTGGTATTCAGTTTGTCCGCAATGATGCCAAGGTAGAATTTCCAATTTTTGTCTCTGTATTAATAATCTTTGATATATTTCACTGCCACGTTATTGCCTGTTCCTTTTCTTATCTTTTGGTGGTAAAGCTAATTGTTTTACTCTGTTACGATCTCAATTCTTTTATTTTGAGCACCAACTGTTCTGTGGGCAATATTAGTCTCTTTTATTATTATTTTTTTTTTCTTATCATCTGGTAAATGTTGTGGTAATAGAATTATTGGTAGTAAGTTTCCATATCTGAGAACCATTTCATTGGTTCTGCTGTTTTAGTGTAACTTCGCTGAAAGATAGAGGCTTCATATTTGGAGTATCAGTCTGTGGCTTCCAAAAGTTGGTTTTGAATGGGTCACTGCTCTGTTTTTATAGCTTTTATTTTATGAGTAAATTTTTCTGTAGTAAATCTAAAATGTTCACATTCATGTGCCATCATTCATATGTGTATTGGTTTTTTCATAAACTGCTTTGTTCAAAGTTCTAGGGCTCGTTAAACTGAAAAGAACAAAATTTTGTTGAACAAGTGTAAATCTAACAACTTTTTAGGGCAACACTTGATGCACATGGAGAGAGGTTGTTGCATATGCATGACATGAACCTAACTTTGTCTACAAGTAGCATAAACTGATAACATTTTCTCTGATACATATTGTTGTACTTTTCTGAGTGCTGCTGGTTCCTTATGGGTTGTTCTATCCACAGATTTTCCGCTTTTGTAGATCAAAATGCCACAAAAACTTTAAGATGAAGAGGAATCCTCGAAAAGTAAAATGGACCAAAGCTTATAGACGATTGCATGGAAAGGACATGACACAGGTTAATATGCTTGGATTAAATTATCTAGTTTTGCAGTCCTTCTCACACTAATGATTGCTCAGACATTGAAGACTGTGGTTGATTTGTTCTCTATTTTTCATGTTCCCTGATTTCACAGGATTCAACATTCGAGTTTGAGAGGAAGCGTAATAGGCCAGAGAGATATGATAGAAACCTTGCAGAAAACACTTTGAAGGCCATTAAAAAGATAGATAAAATCAGTTCAGATAGGCAGAAACACCACATATCCACCAGGTTTGTTTCCTTCTTGTAACTCATTAAGAAAGTACTGAAGGTGTTGCGTGTCATGTCATTTAAAAAACATATTTCCAAACGTTTTGCAGGCTTAATACAGGCAAAGTCAAAAAGAGGAAGGAGGCAAGAAACGAATTGAACCAGAGCATTCACATGATCAAAGCCCCATCAGCTCTCAAAGAAGATTCATCTCTTACTCTCCCGAAAATCAAGGTCAAGGTCTCACAAACTCTGGCCGAAGAGAATCAGCCAATGGAAGAGTAAATTTGGTTCCACCCTCTCTCTATGTTGTTCTGTTCCACCGTGTAGCTATCATGAAATGCTTGTTGTGTGGATGCAAAAGTTGTCTAAAATTTTGAGAAGCCTATCAAAACTTTATTGTTATTGTTTTTCTGAATACTGGATCCTTGGAAACCATTATTAACTAATTATTATTGGTGTTCGTTTCTCTCAATTCTTTGTCCGTAGATTTTAGCTCTTTGGCTTCTCTTGCGGCTAGACTTTGACCTATCACCACTCACACAAACGTTAAAGACACATTTCACAAGCTTATTGCTCTAGTGCTAACATTTCAATGAACACCCACCACCTACCGGAAAAGATTAATATTTAAATAGCCTTCCTTATTCTCACTTAATTGATCATCGATTAAACTCATCAATAGAACGGCCTAGTTTTGAGTATTTCATATACTCTTTTTTGCAATAGATTTTATTGTATAAAAGCTTAAAAAACTAATATTGTTTTTCTAACACAATTTCAATGCATTAAAAATTTGGAAGGAGTAACGCAAGATCGGTTGGTAAGTATTGCATTCTAAAAGCCATTTGCATTGCGCCTTTTCGCCCGGGGCGGGGGGGCGCCGGAATTAAGCCTTAGGAGAAGAAAGATACATATATAATTAAAGATGTGACTTGGCATTGGGAGAGATTCTTTTATGATATTAATTTTTGGGTATTTAGTAATCACAATGAGTCATAATTAATTTGAAATCGAATCACATCGGATTTTATTAGGTGAAATTTTTTCGACGCCTGTTTTTTCATTTACAATATTTGAAAATGAGATTTTATTTAAAGAGAACCAAATTTATTCCACTTAATCAACAGCTCATTAGTTGGGAGAGATTTTTTTTAAATGATTTAATTAAATTCGATTTTAAATTAATTAAGATTTAGTATAATTTTTAAATATTAAAAGATAAGTTAAAAAAAAAAGATGTGACTTGATTTTTGGGATTATACATTGTTTTAACTCTCTTTTTGGGATTTGACAACATTTATGTAGTAAATGCTGAACAAACCTGTCATGAATCAAACCCATTAGA